GATCCACCTACCGGGATCTTCTGAATCCAGAGTGGAGTTTGTGTAACATGGGTCATCAGTTATACATTATCATTATTAATATGTACGATCCACCCACTGGGATTCCAGAGTGGAGTTTGTGTAAAAATGGGTCATCAGTTATACATTATCATTATTTATATGTACGATCCACCTACCGGGATCTTATGAATCCAGAGTGGAGTGTGTGTAACATGGGTCGTCAGTTATACATTATCATTTTTAATATGTACGATCCACCTTCCGAGATCTTCTGAATCCAGAGTGGAGTTTGTGTAACATGGGCCGTCAGTGATATATCATCATTGTTTCTATTTATGACCCACCTTCTGGGGTCTTCTAAATCCATAATGGAGTTTGTATAATGTGAATTGTAGATGATATGTAATTTTTTCTGTCTAGGGCCCACCTACTGGGATTTTTTGAATCCAAGGTGGATTACTAGTAATATAGATCTCTATTATGTATAATTTTTCTGTCTAGGGCCTACCTACTGGGATCTTTTGAATCCAAGGTGGATTACTAGTAATATAGATCTCTATTATGTATAATTTTTTCCATCTAGGGCCTACCTACTGGGATCTTTTGAATCCAAGGTGGATTACTAGTAATATAGATCTCTATTATGTATAATTTTTTCTATCTAGGGCCTACCTACTGGGATCTTTTGAATCCAAGGTGGATTACTAGTAATATAGATCTCTATTATGTATAATTTTTTCTATCTAGGGCCTACCTACTGGGGTCTTCTGAATCCAGAGTGGAGTTTGTGTAACATGGGTCGTCGCCAGTCACCTGTAGATATTGATCCATCGACATTGTTGTTTGACCCTCATTTAAGACCCATCCACGTAGAGAAAAGCAGGGTGAGTGAAACATTCATGTAAACACCGTGTTATAGCAATAATGAAAATTTCAGAATCGAAATTGGATCCCAATGAACGCAATGAACAACCATGAACTACTGTCAAGCCTCCTAGTTGTAGATTTAAACCTATTGCTGATAAAATTAATATATTTTTCATACAACTTGTTGTTTTGTCAAAATAAACTCCTTGATTTTGGATTAAGAATAATTATCCTTATTCCCGAATATTTTTCAGCAAGGTTTCAGATTTCGGAAACGTTTACAATCTCCACAACAATATTGCCTGTCTGGTCCACTTAAACATAATACTATCTAATCAAAAACACCTTAGGTGTGAAAAAAATATGCGACCAAATAAGGATTAAGTGTGCGACTTAAAGGAATGAAATCAAAATTTGCAGTCAAACTGGTAGCTACACTTATAGCATTGATAAGAATTTTACAGCAAATATTCGTTCATTAGTTAGCCAAGCCGCTTCTTTTGTTCAACTTGAGGTGTGACGATGAGTGAAACAAAATATGCGGCCTGGCTAACTAATGAATGAATATTTGCTGTAAAATTCTTATCAATGCTATAAGTGTAGCTACCAGT